AGAGGTCACAATGTGAATGAAGAGCATCTTACAATGAAGTTTTGTTTTATTTCGTTATTTCCTTTTAATTGAAATATAATCTGCACTCAAGTCATGGTTCTATCTTAACTCATTCGCTACATATTATTTTTAGCTTGTGGACGAATTTTTTTCGGGAGGGCGAAATGAGATGATGACTAGTGCGCAGTTCTCAGGTCTTTGGGGCCACAAATTCAAATAAATATCAACATATTATATTCCAAAACTTTCAGTATGGTTTGTAAAATACATCTGTAATATTTATTTGTGTATTTTTCAACTTTGGCTCCTGTAAGAGGTGATTATGCAACACATTTTTGCTTGCAGGCAGATGAAATTTGAAATAAAAAACCAATAATCTTTGGTGAAACTCAAAAAATGTTTGCACCTAGTCAAATGATACATCGAAATAACCATAAATGAATATAGAATTGGAAAATATTGAAAAATTTGCAGTTTTTTTACATACATTCCATAAAATATGTATCTATGGATCATAATGTCTGCGATATGGAAAGAAAAAAAAGTTTTATAATTTTGAAAAAAGGACACAAACAGAAAAAAACCACTCGTATCTGATATGGAAATATTCTGAATTGTATTTGGAAATAAACCTATACATGTCTTGAGTGGTACATTTCGTGTAATTTCACCCAAAAATAGTGATTTTGAGGGGAAAAAGATATTTTGACAATTTAGATCTAGACCTCAAGGTCTAACACTCAAAAATATGGATTTCTCAATAACAGGCTATATTTCTTTAGTGAGCAAAATAAAGATACATTTTGTTGTGTAAAAGTACTAAGACTAGGCATCGCGATAAAACTAAAGTGGCATAAACTTCGAAATTGTGTTTCAAAACTGAATCTAAACTTCCGATTTTCGGTGGAAACGCTTGACCCGGAAGTCAATGTTATATTATAACCTTTATTTTAATTTGGATTGGAATAGAATCTAAGCTAGAATTATAGGTCGGTTCTTGAGCCGTCGGGGGGCGGCTTTGCGTACGGAAGCAACTTTAGCCGCGCCGCTACCCACTGTTAGGCGTAGCGAATGAGTTAAGCCCTCTTTTTTTCTTTGAATTTTCTCAAAACTATAGAAAGTAATAATGTTGTAGGTTTGGCTGAATTTTTAATTAACAGAGTTGGGGGATGCCTCAGGTTCGTTTCACTTCACTTCTTTTCTTTCTTTTTTTCTTTCTATGTGTCTGTCTTTTTCTTTCTCTTCATTTAAAGAGCATTATTGTGTTGGTGTGCTTCTGTTGACACAAATTCTCCACAATTGATGGTTATGGTACTCAAAGAGATGCATTTGGTTATTTGAGGATGGTCATTTTTCCAAACGAGCTAAATTTGCCTCTTGAAAATTAACTTAATATTGAAATGGGCTTTAACTGATTCCATCCTTGGATTTTTCCAGGCTCTGGACAGAATTATTTTTATCTGTTCAGTTTTGGACCTGGGGTGCATCTATTCAATGCATTACTGTGAAACTCTAAGTACTCTTATATTTACTGTCATATACCAAACTGATGGGAATCAATAGAGGAATCTGTTTATATCAATAACAGTGACTCATAATGTGTTTGTAATGTATTTTCCCTCAGACAAAAACGAGTGGGGAAAAAAAATTGCGCAACAGCTCTTCGAAAATTTTGACTCACCACATTTTTTTCAACTCTACAAGTCCTTATAATCCATCGGAATCAACACAAAATTGTAGTGCTATCACCCTGGCACACAATTATGCAAGAATCTCACAAATTTAGTTGAATATCTTTCTTGGAAGGGCCTTTTTATTATGCCAGGCTCCGTGTTGTTTACCCCTTAGATCTAGCTAACATAGCAACAACAAAACAACGATTTTTGCAAGAATTTTGCGGAGTTTCGATCGGCATTGGCACTCAGAGATTAAGGTCAGGCTTCTATTCAAGTTCTACTTCCTTTCGACAACTTAAAAAGTAGGAACTATGTTAAAAAGTGCACATTTGTTTCGGATTTCGCTTGGATTTCTTTGAGCCGCTCACAGCGGTCGAATGGAGGCAGCGGAAAAACTCAGAGCCGAATGGACGGAATCAGTTAAACCTATACAATGACAAAGTTTTTGTTTGTACTCTACATTTCGTGTTTTGTCCAGAGATTTTTAATGAAATCGCAGTGACCGTTTCGTGTTTTTGTCCATAGTTTTTTGACGAAATCAAAGTGACAGACCCACGTGTGAATGACCTGGGGAATAAAGTAGGTCAGCCGAGCCCATACCAGTTGCTTCTGGAATGTTTGAGAAGGTGAGTGTTTGTCTGGTGACAGACTGCTCACTGTAACAGACCAGGTTCCTGTTTGACGATTCACTTCCCAAGAAGCAGTATTTTGTGATATTTATAATTAAATTGTTACTGTAAATGTTCTGCGTCTCCATTGATGTCGAAGAAGTCCAATATAGAGGTAGTCTTAAACGGATAAAGAATTTGTAATTCATATCATCTTCATAAACACTATTAAAATTAAAAAGACTGTTGTTTTTTTTCTGGATACGTAATTGAAGGTATTATTGCTAATCAAGATTTTTTTTCCTCTGCTCAAAAACTCTGGCATTGATGTTTGTTACTTTTGCCTAGATAGGCTATCAAAAATGTTCTAAGCAGCCTCTGCAGTCTAAATAGCATTACTTGCGCTGAAACAGCTGAAGTGTGTGTTTGTAGAAGCTTACTAGAGAGGTTATTTTGGAAAGATCTACATTATGGGCATTTGTGGTGTAAAGGTTATCGTTGCTGTCAAATTTTGAGAATTTTATATTTCTACACCCTAAAAATCTGTTGTTGTTTTGTTTTTTTCAGAAACTTTGGCATGGGCAACACGCAGTGCAATGTGAGTACGCAGCCTCTCAAGAACCAGAAGTGTGAGTTCTCCATCGAAGTGGGAAAGCACTCGGCTACGGTGAGTCATTGTGCTTGTGTTAGCAGATCATACAAACAGGATGGTATATTGCTTTACTTTTTTTAAATTTCTTTTTGTATCATGACAGATTCTTCTGCAATGGCACTGGTAGGTCCTACTTCCTTACTTTCCTTCTGTTGTTTCTGTCTCTCGTTCCTTCTTTTTCCCAGCACTTAATGACCATTATTGTGTTGATGTGCTCCTCAAACAAACGGTTGATCAATGGAAAGGGGAGAGTAATGGTTGCGTTATAAGTTTTTTTGTTTTGTTGTGGAGAGTGTGCTTGTGTTTTTGAGCTATTCTTGGAAAATATGGGTGAGCTGCATCCTGACAAAATGAGTTTCCTGTAATTTGTTTTCAGTTTCTTAGGAGAGGAAGCTTGTTGTGCCAATTAGTAGTGAACTGAATATTTCTACTCATCTATTCCTGATGGTCTGTATGTGCGTATGTTGCCTTTTGTAATGACGAAACCTCATTTGGCTTTATGATTGCTTCCCTCTTTCCTTCTTACATTTTTTGCTATATCTTAATGACACTGACCAAGACATCTACCTGTTTAAGACAACCTCTTTACTCCTCCACAATGGGTCGACGGTCATGGACAATGTCCACTGTACGTCTCTATATCTTGTCCCATGTCAGTACGTTAGTGTTTTAGCGCCTGTAAAATGGCAGCTTGCACTGTATGCTTCCCAGGAAGTTGAAATTGTTTCAGAATGCTATCAGGTCTGCTGGGATATTAATATGGATTGTAAAGCACTTAGTGCTTGCTGTTGAGCAGGAATTTGTGCTGAACAAACTCTATTTATTATTGTTATTATTATTATTATACATTGTTATTTAAATTTTGTCCAGGTTGTGGCCAAGAACAAACGAGACGGGAAACAGCTGGCGGCCCAGGCTATCCTGGCAAAACTCCACCCTCATGTGCCCAGCTGGGGCTCGCTGCTCCGGCTCTACGGAACCAACATGGAGAAGCCTGTCGAGAAAGTGGGTGGTTTTTAGGGGAGAAATAGGATATGATTAGGTAGTTGATGGGGTAAAATCGTTAGTTTATTAAATAAACCATTTCTGTACCAGTAATTTCATTTAGACAGCAGAGGCTGCTTTGAATTTTTGTTAGCCTTAGCGTCAGACAATGATAGTACATAACAAGATGGGCCACTTCTCTCTTTGAGCCAATTAAAAAAGTGTCCTCAAAATTTGGTGGCGCCCTCTTCACAAAAGCGCACTCTTTGCGAACAGAGTTACCCTACTTGAGTTTTTAAAAATCAAAGTGAAACTAGCAAGTTTTGGGATAAATTTCGGAAGAACGCTTTTTTAAAATGGTTACGCTGACAAAAAACCTGTTCCGGAGGAAAGGGTGATGGTTTTCTTCGTTTAATTTGACTTTAGAATGAAAGGCGAGAGGTCATTAAAATTTTAAAAAACTAAAACTCCGCACTGAACGTACCCGAACTGCTGATGAACAGCAGTCGATCTGCGCACGCAAGGAAGTGCTATTCCTATTCTTCTTCTGGAAAAACGAAAGAGAGCTTCAAAACAGACTGCAGCGCCATCTGAAACAAAGAGCATACTTCCTGCGGACACTTTTTAGGCTGAGTGGCCCATCTTGTCTTGTACTATCTTTGGCGTCAGAATTAACCTCAATACCAGTTTTCTTTTGTAGTTAAGAAAAAAGTTTCTGATAAGAATTCATACCTTCGATGACAAATCCTAAAAGAAAATGAGCATTTTATTTCAGAAAGTGGGTAAATAATTCTAGTCAGTGGATAAAGTGAGTAGTTTTCTAAGTCAAGTGATAGTTTTTTTTAACACTTTGCCTTCACAAGGCTCATAATAGACCTGCATGTTTGCCGACAATCATCTGAAGTCCGACAATCGCGACCCGACCCGTGAGCCGGCCGATGCTATCGCTAGGCCTACCTGTATTAGTCAATGTGCGAAGTGCGAGGCCTGGCCGACTGCCAGCGCCCCCATTTTTCTCCCGGCGGCTTTGTTGGCACTTTCGTTTTTGTGCCGACTGCCGACGTAGGCGTTTCCGACATAATTGTCGGCACCTGAGTAGAAATACGAATACGAAAAAGTACGACGACCTAAATTATCTACTTTCAGTTTCGTGCTCGAGCGGCCGTTTTAAGTTTCGTTTGTTTACTGATAGTTCAGATCATGTGGATTCTTTCAAGTCCGACTCGCTTGTTCTACTCTAGATCTAGATTTATAGATCATTATAGACCTCAATGGAGGATTCATATTCCAATTCTATTGTGTCAAACCATAGGTTGTGCTGTAATATTAATGTTGGTAAAACGCATTTTATCAGGGCGTGAATTATTTACTTAGAATAAAGATCTAATTAATCTACTCTAGATCTAGAATCCTAGGTAGACTCAGCTGAGTCCCTCTGTTCGGAATCGGATGCAAATTTCTCGTTCAAGGCCTATTCCTATTCACTTGTTCTACTAGATCTAGATCTAGATTTATTTAGATCACTAGATCTATTTATAATATAACTAGATATTTATAGAGAAAGATTCATATTTCCAATTCTATTGTATCTAACTCTTTATAGCAATGTAGGCCATATATTATTATTATGCTCCTTGTTTTGGAGTGTGATTTTTTTTGGGGGGGGACTTGTTCTGGCCTTTTTACATGAGGGTCGTTGCAGGTTCTTTTTGGGGGTATGGTTTGGGTTAGGGTTAGGTCTCTTCGTTATTGTGTTTGTTCGGGTGGTTGCTCGTTGCGCGGAAGTCCTTCCTTTTATGACATCCACAATTTAAAAGCTCTTATAAGTTAGGGGGGGGGGGGTGCGCAAAATTTTCAGACAATCTGGTTGAGGCTCACATGCAGGTCTATCATAATATTGTAAAAACGCTTGCCATCAAAGGCAAAGGCATTTTGTGGAAAATCCTTAGAAACAGGGTGGTAAACATTGCCGATCAGCGAGATGTGATTGCGAAGTATAAATGATGTGGATAGTATATAGGAGAAAGTGTAGGATACAGATTACCCTGAATGTTTTTGAGCAGGAATTGTTTATGGAGTTCTGAAGGCTCTGCGTCCGCTTGGCTTGGGTCCTATCACCGATGGACACCTCTTTTTCCCAATTCTTTAGCATTTGTAGAGGGGTTTAACACTTACCATTGTCTGTGGTGTCATGATTAGGCTGTTCAACTTAGCATGGAAAGACATGAGTTTGATTCTCGTGTGCAGAGGTTATTTTGTTGAAGTCTTTCCATCTGTCTGCTGGGATGTTGAATCTCACTGAACCAGGGTCTGTCATGACAGGTGGGGTTTAACCCTTTGGGCTCTTGCCACTGGTATACCGATGGCGCATGAAACTGCCCGTATGCCTAGCCACTGGCCAGCCTGGGACAAAATGCACGGGGAAAACAGTGTTTACTACACAGAATGTCAGTTTTGAAGATCTTTCTGAATTATATGCTAGTAATGATGAGGACTATATTGATTGGGAAATGGAAAGGTATTCAGATCTTATCCATGTTCGTAATATATTGCTCAGGAGCTCAGGCAGAGGGGCAGAGTAGCCTCAGGAGGTCAGGGCTCAAAGGGTTAAGCTGCCCTCCCCCTAAATGATCTAAATTGTGTTGATAGGGGTGAGAGACATTTGCAGTCAATCTCACTCCATACTGTACATTGCACTATTGCTTCTGTTGTGTCAGTTTCTTTTTAAATTTCAACGAAAGTTGATAAGAGTAGGCTTCAGCCGCCACCCGTGCAAAATTAAAAATTTCCTACAAGCTGAAAATGTTTAATGTGTCTTAGGCTCTCTTATGACCTTTTATGCAGTTGCGAGCTCCTTAAAACACCCACCGAAAAATGTTTTTTTAAATAATAAAAATTTCAACAAGTTGTTGGGGAACTGATATGGTTTGCTCCTTTTTTCCTATCAAATATCTATTGTCCTTATACTTATATCTCCTCTTTCTTTTCTTTGTATGTTACTCTCTAATGTCACCTCTAATCTCCAACTTTTTAATGACCTGTTTGCGTTGCATTTGCCATATAAAACTAAAATGGTACTAAAACTGTTATGATAACCCTCTGCCCAGGTGGAGGAGATGAATGAGATCAAGACGCACGCGCCAAACCACTCTGTGCTGGAGAGTCTGAAGGAAGAGATGAGGAAACTACACAAACAAAAGGTGGGGACTTCTTCTTTCTTCTCTTCTCTTGTCTTCTTTCTTCACTTTTCTTTTGTTGCTTTCCCTTTTATTTTTCCTCTTTTTTTTCTTTCCCCCCAGCTGGGAGATTATCTCATGATGGTTTTGGACATTGTCTCATGCTCGAGAGATTATCTTATAATTGTCTGGAGATTGTCTCACGATGGTCAGAAGATTATTTTATTATGGTTAGGAGATTATGATATGGTTATTAGGGGATTGGCTCATGATAGCTAGATTATCTTTTGGTGAGTAGGGGATTATCTCATGATGGTTTGGAAGATTGTCTCTAGATTGTCAGGAGGTTGTCTAATTAGTGGTACAGATGTTAACCTTTTCAGTGCCCTTGAGTAAAAGACTGTTAGAAACTTACAGCATGTAGTTTATAAATCGTCTCCTGTTTTATTATTTTAAGAAAATGTCTTTCCCCTAGAAAGCCATCTAGTTTAAAAAAGGAGATATTTATCTCCAGCAAAGACTTTCTCTGAATTTTTGGTTATTTGCCTTCCATCACGTGTGAAAAGTGCATAGAGCTTGCTGTGGAGCTGGGATATGGGCTATACAAATGCTATTTATTATTATTATTATTATATTATCTTTAAAAAAAAGTGTTTTTTTTCTCTTTCTCTCAGGAAGCCATTCAGTCTAAAGGAAAGATCATCATCTCTAGCAAAGACCTCCCCAGCAAAATGTCCGGAGTGGACTTGTGAACAGTGACTAATCCGTCCCCGAGGGCAGCGATATTATCAATCCATCTATTTTGTTTTGCAATGTTGATGTGAAATTGACGATTGGTTTTTGGTCCTGTGGGTCTTTTTTTTGTCTGTTGAATTGAATGAGTCGTTTGTTGTTTGTTAGTAATATTATTGAAGCGTAACTGACTGTTAAAGAAATTGATTGTGGTGGTCATTTGGGACTTTTGTCTCTTGTGATGATGATACCATCTATTGCAAGTTTGCAATATTGAAAGTGTAACTGACTGTGAAAGTAATTGATTGTGTTGGTCGTATTGTACTTGTATTTTGTTGGGGGGTTTTTGTGTCTGATGAGTTGACTGGAACCATCTATTGTATGTTTGTAACATTGAGTGAAATTTACTGTTAAAGAAATTGATTGTGTCGGTCATGTGGGGGTTTTTTTTGTCCACGTTGAATGGGACTATCTACTGTATGTTTGCAATATTGAAAGTGAATTGACTGAAAGAAATTGATTGTGTTGGTCATATGGGTTTTTTGTTGGATGAATGAATGGAACGATCTATTTTATGTTTGCAACGTAAATGGGAGATTAGGCTGTAACGAATTGATATTGAATATGCAATTTATCTGTTGTTGAGAATTCTCTTAAGGCTTAAGTGTTATTTGTATAAGTGCAAGTTAAATGGTATGATTGTTTTTAGAAATGCCTAGTACCTGGAAGAAATAGGGTTTGTATGATTTTTGCACATTTTCTACAGGCCCTGATCGGCTTTGCATAGGTCCCAATACTAGTGGCACCCACTACAGCAGCGTGGGACCTTACCGTAATCCCCCTTTTTTTTTTCTCTATGTAAACTTAATTACCTGTGCTCGGGTTTAGCGGGGCAAGGAAAGGCCCGAACTCGGATACAGGGGAGACATTGTCTCCCTCACAGCTTGGGTTAGTCCTGACTGGCAGGGTTGGAAGCTCGCCTCATAAATGATCTTAATTCTGTTGACGGGAGTGTAAAAACATCAGAATCAAAAAGAAATTTCTTCACTTAGCAAAACAATCATATGATATCTGTTTGATGTTGATGAGAGGTGGTTGCCACTGCTCAGTGTCGTAAGAACTGCTAATCTTAGGTCAAATATTTGAAAAGCTTGCAAGATTTTTTCCTTAAATTGTCAGTTTTCAGCAAAGGGACCTAACCCTCCTCTGTCTTCTCAAAGACTAGGTTCATTATTCATGGTTACATCCCCTCACTTACAATATAGCTGGGAACGTTAAGTCATTCGTAATAATTTATTTCCTAGTTAGAGAATAAAGAACAAATTTCAGTAACAGTAAGGTGTATGTACCTTCCTGGCTTTCCTCACAGGGACACCGTTTTTTTCATTTTTGCCATGATTTCTGTTATTTTCTCTGGAAGAACAGTTATTTTTCTAAGCATTTGTTTTCTGCTTAAAACTATACAGTCCAGTCCATTTGACCTCTGTTACTACAGGAACTTGGGTAAAACAGTGATAAATCCAAATCAAATCCCCTTTCTTTTCTCTACGGTACAAGTGTATAAGTAATACAAACCTGGCTATAGTATATTCAGGGTTCAATTTGTGCAGACTCAGATATAACAGTGATTTTGCAGCGCTTGAACTTACTTTCGATCTGTCAAATTAAAATTTTGTCTCAACCTAGACATTAGGCATGTTTGTATGATGGTCACTTGCCTAAACACAAACTTTCAAATCACCCCGCCCCACCATCGGTTCAATGATAGATTCCGTCTCAGTGTCAGCAAAACAGCCCGTTTGATTTACGTTAATCATATAGTAAGCTGAAGGTGCTATGGTACTGGTAGTTTCCCATGACAATGCTTGTAACAGGACTGGCTTATAACAGGGAAAAACTGCCGGTCCCATCTGTCCTATTATATCCCAGTTTGACTATTAGTTCTGTCTAGTAGTAGTATAAACTGTCATTTTGTTTTCAAATGCGTAAATTTTTAGTTATTTTCACAAAATGTACATAATAATAATAATAGATCTAATAATAATAATGATAAAAAATAAGTGACACTTTTCAGTCTTTGAATGAAACAAGGAGCACTGTGATAACTCTTTCAGTCTATAGTACATTCCCATAACCCTCTGTGGGCTATAGAGTGGATGACTCTGGGACAAATCTCCAAGTTCTGAGCTTGGGGGTGTTGTTTTGGGGACTTATTAGGGCTCTCCATCCATTTGGCTCGGCCCTATCAGAGATGCAGCGTTTAAGTCGAAGGCACTGTCTCTTAAATGACTTACCTATGTTGAGAGGAGCATTAAGACTCTACATGTACAATTTAATCCTTTTTGTCTAGTTAATTTGGTTTGTGTGATCAACTCCAGTGAGTTCAACACTGGCGGAGTTGACCGTACTGTATCATGAAAATGAAAAAGCAGTTGAATGAAGAAAGTAGATGTAAGTTTGATTGGATAATGAACCCTTGCCCCAGTGTCAGTTTTTGTTTTAAAGTTGAGATATAGGGGCCTAGGCCTAGAGGAGATTTTTGAGGACTTTTATGAAGAATCAGCAGCATAATTGTCTGAATGTTGTTAGCTTTGCAACAGCAGCTTTCGATGTGATTCCCATTTGTGCTTAATGAAGCGCCTTCAATTTGTCATTCATCGTACAATTTATGTGCATGTGTTTATGCATTATAATGTCATTCTTTCTTTGCTGTAATATTTTTACCTTAATAAACTTTTTCTAACTTCGAAGGAGATATATAATCATAGGCGTGTTCTCTTAATCTGTGATCATAGATAATACAATGAGTCTTTTTGTTTGTATCAGGTGACCTTCTTATTTTTCTTCTTTTCTCCCTCTTCTTCATCTTCCTCTTGCTCCTCTTCTTCTTCTTCTTCTTCTTCTTCTTTTTCTTCTTCTTCTTCTCCTTCTTCTTCTTCTTCTTCTTCTTTTTCTTCTTCTTCTTCTCCTTTGTCTTCTTCTTCTTTTTCTTCTTCTTCTTCTTCTTCTTCTTCTTCTTCTTCTTCTTCTTCTTCTTCTTCTTCATCTTCATCATCATCTTCATAGTTGTTGAGGTCCCCTTTGTGCTTAAAAATAAAGTACCCTCAATTTGACATTCAAAAATTGCACGTCTTCATGTTGGGCATTCTCTGCCAGTTTCTTTGGAATTTTTCTTTTAAGATTTCATTTTTTGTGTGACTAAAGCTTTTGGTTGTGAGTGGTTAGGAGATGCTCCTTCTTTCCTATCAAACATCTATTGTCCTTTTCTCTCCTCCTTCTATTTTGAGTTTGTTACTCCCTTGTAACTACTTATATACATGTATGACCTTTGTGTTGCAAGTGCTATAAACTCTTGAGAGAACGAAAGGCTTTTAATTTTCATTGTTTTGAGCATATCCATGGGCCTATATTTGCTTTAGGCCATTCCCAAAGGGAGGGGGGGGGGGACATTTTTCGTTCTAACTAACAGTAGAATTGTAAATGGGCTGATCCAACAATGTCAAGCACATAACTGCCTGAACTGCAACTGGGAACTACTGCTTTTTCTTTCCTGATCCTTTCTATCGTCATTTTCCTCTACTTCTTTTGAATGTTTGTCACACTCTTATGACCAGCTATTTCCGGGGTGCCTTGATAGTCGAAGCAGACTTTGTGCTAGAGAGGTGAGCAGAGTAGGCCTGATTCCCTGTATGTGTAAGGACTTCTCTGTTGACATCCACCCCTTGGCGCTCATATGACCTTTTGGAGTTGCGAGCGCCGTAAAATCTTACTAAAACAAACAAAAATTTGCTTTAGGTTTTAGGGGGTGGTTGGCTCAAAATTAGACGTGAAATTGTTAGGGGTTTTTCCCCTTGTCAAGTACCTGCGTCTGTTGCCATTTTTTAAAATTCAAGAGTTGTCACAAAAAACGGCTAAAGTTGCCATAGAAGTTGCCATTAATTTTCAAGCTTTCAACTTTCTGTGACGACGTATGTATAGCAATATGTTGAAAGAGGTAACTTACTCTAAAGCACCAGAATTTCTTGAGCTCTGTTTTAAGCATCCAGAATATCATTTGTTGCCACACAATTTAAAAAAGTAAGGTTTCGCAACAGAATGAAATCGAAATTAGAACTGCACATAAGAACCACAAAATTTAACAAGGGCGTGTGTCCACCTTTCTGAAGTTTGGCCGTTTTAACCCTAAACGTGTGTAATTCAAGAAAAAGTACAGGACATTACATAAGGCCTAAATTTATAAATTAGGGAATCACATACAGGGGACCTGCCAGTGTCTGTATTTGATTTTGGTGGAGACACGCTCTAACATAGCACATTTATTTTGTTTAAAACGTAGGGACAGCACCAAATTAAATGGCATTACGCTTTAGATCTCTCTCGCTCTCTCTCTCTCTCTCTGTCTCTCTCTCTCTCTCTCTCTCTCTCTCTCTCTCTCTCTCTCTCTCTCTCTCTCTTTCTCTGTATATATATATATATATATATATATATATATATATATATATAATATATTTATTATATATATATACTCGTACAAACAAACAAAAAAACACTCACCGGAACAATAGCAAGAAAAAAATATACAACCCACCAACAAATTAAACCACAGTAAAAAGGGAAAAATAAAAGAGAAATAGCAACATAAATAGTATGGAATTGGAATGTACTTATATAATATTCTTCACTTGAAAATAACAAATCAACGTGATGTCAAAAATTAGTGAGAAAGAGACAAAGCTAAGCGTCTCATTCAATAGGTCCCGGGTCCGAATCTGGATAGCGACGGAAAATTTTCTTCTCTAAATTTTTCTCCTTTCAGATCATTTCCTGCTCTCTAATAATGTTCTGTCATCTGCTTTTATCTCCATTTCTACCCTCACCTCCTTTGCCCCCTCCTCTGGGCTCCTGACTCTTTCTGCAGCCTTTCTACTGCTACTCCTTGGCTCCTTCTTTCTGCTGTCTTTCGGCCAGACCACTGATCTTCTGGTAGGTAAGATCTAACTCCTAGCTTTCTCGAATATGGGCGAAAGATCTCGGAGGTCCCGTGTGCAAGTTGTGCACGTGAAAGATCCATTGGTTGTCCAAAATCGATGAAATTACGAGTAGGCTTCGGCCGCCGTCAGGCCAAAATTCCAAATTTTCTTCCAGCTGAAAATATTTAATGTGTCCTGCGCGCTCATAATATGACCTTATGCAGTTGCGAGCGCCGTAAAATACTTACCAAACAACAACAACAACAACAACGAAACAAACAAAAAAGAAAAACACACCATAATAAACCGTAATGAAACAGACATCAGCAGCGACAGCTTGAGCCGCAACAACAGGACAGCTATGAAATAGCAACGACATTAATACAACCTCCGCTGCAACATTCCCAGCAAACACAGCCAGCAACAGCAACACGATCACCACCCCCAGCAACAACAATCCAACCAAAACTCTACTAACACCTCAAACAACAGCCGAATCAAGCACCACCACATCACCACCACTTCACCACCTCATCACCACCCCCACCACCACCACCACCACCATCATCATCATCACCACTACCACGGTCACACAGTCATCATTACCATCACACAACCACCACACTACCATCACCATCATAACCACCACACCACATCACTACACCACCACCATCATCACAACCTCCTCTAACACCACCATCACCACGACCACCACACCACCATCATCACCACAACTATCACCACAACCATCACCACCACCACCATCATCAAACAACCACTCCACGATCACCACCACCTCCAACACCATCACAACCACCACCCCCATAACCGCACCACCACCACTACCATTACAACCACGACACCATCATCATCATCATCACTACCACCATCATTCCAACCATCATCCCCACCACCACACCACCACAATCATCACAACCACAAAAACACCACCTCACCAACATCACGATCACACCACAACCACCACCATCATAACCACCACACCACATCACTACACCATCACCACAACCACACCGACACCACCATCACTACAAACATCATAACCGCAATCATGATCAAAACCACCACCATCACCACAACCACGATCATCACAAACACTACACACTACACCTTACCACTATAAACCAGCGCCTCCACACCACCATCACCACCACCTCCACCACCACAAAAGAGCACCAAAAATAAAATAAAACCCAGCGACATCATCACATGATCATCAGTAACAACCAACAGAAGTAAAAACAAATTCATTTTTGTTTGGATACTTTATTTTCCAAACAAGCAAAGAGGAGCACCAGATGGTTGAGGCTATGCAAGTCGAGGGTCTGGACAGTGCAGCTAGTCTGTCATTGTAGCATAGCGCATGTTATGACAGCTAAGTACATACATGTATGTGCATGTATATCATTGTTGTTCGTACCATTGCACTCCTCCTCCTCCTCCTCCTCCTCCTCCT